TCTTCTTCTTCTTGTCCTCCAGGTCCTGCTGTTGAAGTTTGTCCATCAGCTCCAGACTGCTGCACAGCTCCTGAAGGTTCCTGTGCAGGAGATGCTGCTGGTAGAGCAGAGGTCTGACCTGTGGCCCCACGGTCCAGTGGAAGTCCATGAGTGGACTGAGCTGAGAGTGGAGTCCATGAGAGCACAGCATGTTCAGAGTGTGTTTAGAGCTGAGTCTTCTTGTTGTCAGAGGAAACACTCTTCAAGTGTCTGTTCACTTCTGTCTCTGTCTTGGTTTGTGTCTCAGCTGTGGGACCGTCTCAGCTTTTATATTCTACCAGGAGGAGGAGCAGAGGCTTCAGGAACCTTCGAGTAATTACCACAACTGGCCACTGGGGGGAGCCTGGAACTTTCTAGTTCTTTCATGTGGCTTCCTGAATTGGCAGCATCTCACCTCAAGGTGTCACTAGTGTGCAATTTCAGGAACCTTCTAGTAATTTCCACAACTCGCCACTGGGTGTAGCTCACAATACATAACCCTGACGTCACAGAATCGACATCTCTGTATTGATCGAATCTTACGCTAGAAGGCACTGTAAGGGCGAAAATAATCCTCTGTTGTCTCCACATTTAGTCAGTAATGGTGGTAAAATACATATAAAATAATTCAGCAGTATTTTAAAAATACATCGATACGTTGAGATTACTTCCAAAATGACAACGTCTAGAAAAAGACAATAAATATCCAGTATCTTTTGATGTTCGTCAAACAGCACCTCCTCCTGGATCTCCTCTGTTTAAGCTAACGTTTATTGGCTTATTTTTTTTAAAAAAACGTACATTTTTACAGAGAACAGGGAGAGATGGAAATCAATGATTTGCTGTAGCACCTCCTGAAAAAAGTTGAAAAAATTATGGAAATTTTTCAAAAAAAATATATTTTTTTAAATTTCAAAAAAATAATTTTTCAAAAAAAAATATTTTTTTTTGAAAAATTTTTTTCTTGAAAATTGTTTGCTTAAAAATTTTTTTGAAAAAAAATTTTCTGTCTGTGCCTTCCTGTCTGTGTTGTTTATTTTTGAATTTTTTTTTTTCGAAAATTTTTTTTTGAAATTTTTTTTCTTGAAAATATTTTTTTGAAAAAAAATTTTCTGTCTGTGCCTTCCTGTCTGTGTTGTTTTTTTTTGGAAAAACAATTTCTTGAAAAATTTTTTTTTTTGAAAAATTTCCATAATTTTTTCAACTTTTTTCAGGAGGTGCTACAGCAAATCATAGATTTCCATCTCTCCCTGTTCTCTGTAAAAATGTACGTTTTTTAAAAAAAAAAAATTTTTCAAAAACTGACCAATTCTGAATGACCACAGAATGGACAGGATCAGGAATGAGGTCATTAGAGCAACAACACAGACAGGAAGGCACAGACAGAAATTTTTTTTTCAAAAAAGAAATTTCACAAAAAAAAATTCAAAAAAAAATCTTTCAAAAAAAATGTTTCAAGAAAAAAAATTTTCAAGAAAAAAGTTTTTCAAGAAAAAGATGTTTCAAGAAAAAAAATTTTCAAGAAAAAAATTTTTCAAGAAAAGTTTTTTTTCAAAAACATTTTTTCAAAAAAAATTTTTAAGCAAACAATTTTCAAGAAAAAAATTTTTCAAAAAAAAAAATTTTTCAAGAAATTGTTTTTCAAAAAAAATTTTCGAAAAAAAAAAATTCAAAAATAAACAACACAGACAGGAAGGTTTGGAGAAAAAGCTAGAGAAGCCAGATTGAGATGGTTTGGACATGTGCAGAGGAGGGACAGTGGAGACATTGGTAGAAGAATGTTAGAGATGGAGCTACCAGGTAGGAGAAAGAGAGGAAGGTCAAAGAGGAGATATATGGATGCAGTGAGGGAGGACATGCAGATAGTTGGAGTCAGAGGAGGAGATGCAGAGAACAGGGACAGATGGAAATCAATCATTTGCTGGAGCAACTCCTGAAAAAAAGGGACAAAGCTGAAAGAAAAAGAAGTACAACACAGTAGATTATATTTTATTTTCGAACATCCGGGACCGACTGTAAACACTTCCGGGAGCCTCCAGACTTCTGCTGATAGACCGGCGCTCATAAAGGTATATCTTTTTTTCTATCACTTTCTCATGTAATATCTATCTTTTACCACTTGATGGCAGCATGTCCTTCTTTTAATATGAAAAATGACTTTTAGAACCTTAACTGTCACCTCAGCAGTTTGCCACTAGTTGTCAGCCTAACCTGGTCTTTGTTACCTTACATTAAGTGCTTTGTTGTTTTTGTATTATTTCTCTTTTGTAATGAATTTGTTTTAATCCTGTTTAATCCCTTTTTTTAAATATTAAATCAATCACCTTATTCATTCAGATCTCTGTGAATACGACTTTTACCTAAAAGCAAATGGATAAAAACTGTGATGAAGATCAGACTGATGAGTCAATGTTGATATTTCACCACGATGTTTGTTGTGGTTCCTGGTTTTCTCTGTTTCTGTTCCTATGACCTGACATGTTCTTGTTCATATAAGTCGTGTGTTGATATATAATAATATCCGTGGAGAACCTTTGGGAGCAGGTTGAGGGTTTATTCATCCAGCGGCTGTGAACAAGACAGACTGATATTTTCAGGGCTCTGCAGCAGAGCAGGGGCAAAAACAAGTCAGGAGCCAGGATTTAAACCTACAGCTTTCTTTCAACCTGTGGAAAAAAAAACCCAGGGCAGGATGATGAAACCTGAACCGACAAACCCTGCTCCTGCCGCTCGGGGACATGCCAGGACTGGTGTCAATATTTTTGACACATAAAGAGAATGCAGAAGATTTTTGAGGAGGAAAATTTTTTTTTTTTTCCAGTATATTTTTTGGCATATGTTCACCTTCGGATGAACTCCCCAAAGTGAGAGGAGGAGGAGGAGGAAGAGGAGGAGGAGGAAGAGGAGGAGGAGGATGAGCTGTTGGAAGGAAATGAAAGGTATGATGGGAAAGTGTGAGGAGGAGTGTGTTCTCCTCATCTTCTACACTGTTCCCTTATACTTCTGTTTGTATGAAGAAACACACACTTATAGACGCAGTGGGGATTCACACACACACCCCTCCCACTGTAGACGTTCAGAACCTGTGGCCGCTGCTGCTCCGCGCTGCTGCTCCGT